GATCTGGTGGTAGAGAACCTGCCTAGCAACCACAAGGCTCTGATCTCAAAACCCTGTGATGAAAAATTTAGGGAAGCCAATCAAAGGACCCATCCCTCAGTAACTGTGGGGGAAGCTGTGGCCTCTGGGGTCCTCCGGGGTACAACTGCTCCTCTGCCTCATTAGAAGAGGAAAGGCAGTTGTGGCAATAAGGGAGGAGAGGGAAGACCGGGTTCAACTGGAGATACTGGCAAGCTGAGCTTTCCCTGCCAGGGTGGGCCAGGGCTTACCCACTCACACCCCTCCAACTGGCTGTCTTGAAGGAGTCTGCACAGCACAACCAGAAATGGCCTTGGCAGGGGCCTTCCTAGGCTGGTTACGGTTGAATCCTGCACATGACTGACCCGGCTTAAGAAATGTGGGCTAGTGTGACTGGCCCTCATCTCCAAGGGACAGAAAAGCAAGTGCATGCATTTCCCTCACCAAGAGGAGAAGCATGTCTCCTCCTCACACATATGGAGGAAAGGACCGGTGAGAGCTCAGGAGGAAGTATCCCAAGAAACATGTTCTTGGACCTTTCCCTTCAGAGGGACAAAGGGCCTTGTCACCTCAGTTCTTCCCAGGCAGAGACTGGGGAAGCCAGCCAGGTGCCAGCTGCCCCTCCTGCCTGGAATCCCATGTGCAGAGTCTGGAGCAGATTGTATACCTACCTGCTGAGCAGGGAGGAGACCTTTCGATGCAGGCATGCCTGGCACAAAGTCTTGTGTGTTTCATGCCTGGCTCCATCCTGCTGTGGAGGTGGGGGGGTAACCAACACCGGGACTCTGGAGCCCTGCAGCCCCAGGGCCTCTCAGTCACTGCCAAAGCACAAGGAGACAAGGGAAACGCTCTCTCAATGGCACTGAGGTAAATACACAGGTATTTACAACTGTGGCCATCCTGCACTGTGAAGTTCTCCAAGCAGATTCCACCTGTCTCAAACTCTATTCCCACCTCCTCATCCCCCCTTCTTCTGGCTCTAGATCACCTCCTCTCTTCCTGGGCCATCCTCCAACCTCAATCCTCTGCTAACTCTCACTCTGTCTACTCCTACTTCCATATTGGAGATGGCCCATTAGTGGCTACCGCACACAATTGGTCTTGGTAGGCTGAATGTTATGTGTGGTGAGAAGCAGTGGTGGTCCAGGGCCTCCCATTTTCCAGTGAGGGTAGTTTCGTGCCTGAGGAATCCCACACAGTAGGAGTACACATGGAAGACTGTGCTCTCTGGTTAATGGCCCCCTGGCACTCCTCAGTCCTCCTAAGGGCCTTCCCCCACTCCTGTCTTAAGTTTGCACTTAGTTAAAAGGAACTACTTCTGAAAGGACTCTAGCCCTGTGGGCCCCAGCCTTCTTAGCCACTTGGTTGGTGAGGGCTGCAGCCCGCAGGGTGCCCTCCATGCTGAGGGTCATTTGCACTCTTCAAGCAGGGCAGAGGTCCTCCTGCACTTGCTGACTGCGGGCTGCCATCCCAGCTCAGTCTTTCTCACCCAGACAAAAAAAGGAGTACCTTGAGGTATTGTCCTGTCCATTCCAGTGGGGGTGGGGACAATGCAGCAACAGCTCTGGCTGCCCTTGTCCTGTAGGGGCCCTGCTGGCTCCATCCAGGAGGTCCAGCCTACTGCTGTCCGGCTTCCTCAGGATCCAGGCTCTCTGCCTCTGGCTTAGAGATAGTTTCTCTGAGATGCTGCTACAGCCATACTCCCAGCACCACCACATGTGGCTGCAGCTGCCCCAGAAGGCTCTATGTTCCAGGTCCAGGTCAGACTATGGGTTCCAGCTGAGGGCTGACTGGGGTTTCATTATCTCCCTGTGTTTGGCCCTTTTACTCACAGACTCCGGGCCTTCCGCAGATTCCCTGCAACTACTGCAACGCAATTTCTTGCCCTTTCCTCGGCCTGCGCTGCAGCTACTGCCCCAGAACCAGGTGCTCAAGGAAGCTCTGCAGTTGTCATGGAGCTTGCCAGCTGGAAGAGACAAATATTAACTTAGGTGGGATGGGGGAAAATAACTGCATGATTAGGTAGTTGTAGAGGAAGGAGAGGAAGGCCAGAAGGCTGGAGTGAGCATAATAATCACCTCAGATGATCATGGAGCCCTGCCTGCATCTGAGCCTCAGGTGCCTGCCCACCTGAGCTGCAGGTGCTTCACACACAGTCCACATATGAGCCACTTCAGAGTCCAGAGGACCCTTTCCTGGAAATGCTTGGAAGTGCCAGTGTTGATGCAGAGAATGGCACGAGTCTCATTCAGTTGCCCACAGATGCCCTGTTGCCATAGGGAAGGCCACTGTGAGGTATGATGCCAACAGAGCAATGGAGGCAAGTTCCTTTGCACAGTGCCCAGCTTCCCTGCCTGCCCCCTGTGGAGCCTCCTCACTCCCAAGTCAAAGGAATGTGTGTTGTAGCTGTAGTAATAGAGCACCTACCTAGCAGGTTGGAGCCCTGGGGTCAAACTGCAGGACTCCCAGCCAAGAAGAAAAGAAAGCCACCCTATTGTGATGCTGAACTCCTGGAGAGAGGTCAAAGGACCCAGATTATGACCCCTGGTGCCTTAGACTGTCCTCAGTTCAACCACAAGCTACCAGCTTGTTCGGTCATATATCTGACTACCCACATGAGGATCCAGAGACACGGATCCAGTGGTAGAGCACCGGCCTAAGAACCACAAGGCTCTGAGTTCAACTCTGGTATTGAAAAAATTAAAAGGGCCAACTCTAGGGCCTGTGGCTTTTGGGGTGGTAAGGGAGCTGCTCCTCCACTTCATTTGGAAGAAAGCAGGGGAGGAGAAAGGAGACAGGGTTCTCTTGGGGACATAGCCCAGTTCTATTTTCCCAGCTCGACCTAGCATTGGGCCCAGGGCTCATCCACCCACACCTCTCCAATTGGATGAGTCTGTACAACACAACCAGAAATGACCTGGCAGAGGCCTTGCTGGGCTGATTAGGGTTGAATCCTGGACATGGCTGACCTTACTGAAGAAATGAGGTCTAACATGAAGCAACTTCTCTAGCCATAAAAGAAATGCAAATCAAGACAACATTGAGATTCCACCTCACCCTCATTAGAATGCCTCACCCCAGTTAGAATGGCTATAATCAAGAAATCTAGTAACAACAGATACTGGAGGGAATGTGGTCAAAAGGGAATCCTACTGCATTGTTGGTGGGAGTAAACTTGTTCAGTATGGAGGTTCCTCAATCCCACTTTTGGGCATTCACCCAAACAATCACCAACAAGGTCATACCAAAGTTACTAGCACAACCATGTTTATCGCAGCATTATTCACCATAGCTAAGATATGGAACCAACCCAGATGCCTCTCAGTAGATGAATGGATCAAGAAAATGTGGTATGTACAATGGAATTCTATGCCTCCATCAGAATGAATGACATTGCCCCATTTGTTAGGAAATGGAAAAACTTGGAAAAAATTATATTAAGTGAAGTAAGCCAGGCCCAAAGAAACATAGGTCCCATGATTTCCCATGTTTACATATCTAGGACAAGCAGAGAAGGTCAAAGGCTATGTACATATGACTACATGAGATAATGTTAAGCAAAATGTACCCCAAGACAGGGACATTAGTTTTTCTCTTTCTTGCTATTGTTTTTAATGAACTTGTAATGCGCTATGTGATTCCTTTGTTTCTTTTGTATGTTCTTTCCCCACAGTATAACCCCTGTTTTCACTGTATTTGATTCCAGTGCTCTGCATCTTGTATATACATTTTTGTAATTTGGGGAGGGGAAAGGGGATAATAGCAGAATATCTAAATGGGGATGCAGGTTGACCCATTGTGACAACGAGATGTACAGGACTCTATGTTGAATACGAACTTTACAATGCGGGGGGGGGGGGGGGGGGGGAGGGAGGGAGGAGTTAGGGAGGTGAGGAGGGAAGTGATGGTAGGGGAAAAACAAAGAAGGTAACAATGCTCTATAGGAAATGTACTCATTACCCTATTCCTAACTGTAACCCCTCTGTACAGTATTTTTACAATAAAAAATATTTAAAAATAAAAAAGGGAAGAAAAAAAGAAATCAAGTATTAATGTCATGTATCGATTCCATAGATTATGAGATATATTGACAAAATTAATAAAACTTGTTTTAAGTAGATTGAAAAAAAATGAGGTCTAACGTGACTGGCCCTCATGTCCAAGGGGCAGAAAGGCAAGAGGATGATCATGCCACCTCCTCAAAAACATGAAGGAAAGGACATATGATAGCTCAGGAATGGGAGTGTTTCAGGAGTCACTGCTTGGCAGAGGGCCTAGTCACCTCAGCTCTACCCAGGAAGACTAGAGAGGTCAAGCAGGGTGTTAGATGCCTCCTGCCAGGAATTCCAACTACAGAGTCTGGTTCCAATTGCACACCTACCTGCTGGGCAGGGAGGAGACATTCTGGTGCAAGCATGCCTGGCACACAGTTCTGTGTGCTTCATGCCTCGCTTCTTCCTGGTGGGGTTGGAGTCCATATCTCAGGCCGATCCCCCACACTCGGCCTCAGGAGCCCTGTCGACCCAGGGCCTTCAGTCACTGTTCAAGCACAAGGAGACAAGGGAAACGCTCTCTTAACTCATGCTGAGGATAAATATAAGACAGTCCTGACTATGGTTCCCTTCATTGTGGGCATCTGTTCTGTCAGATTCTTCCCATCTGAAACTCTGTTCCCTACCCCATTGCCTCCGCTCGGACCTGCGTTCTTTCTCCTCCAGTTCTCCTTCCCTTCCTTGCTCTCCTCCAGCCTCTGTGAACTCTGTCTACCAGCTTGTACTTCCCCCATTGGAAGATTGGGTGCAGGAGGATTGGTCTTTGGGCGGTGATACAGACATAATGGAGAGATTCAATCACCCCACCTCTAATCTGTGCCTTGTGCATACCATTAGTGATGAAATGATTTGTCAGTTGAATAGGACACACACAAAAAAAGGTGTCAATCCCATAAAATGCAGCACACACAACTGACCTGCCTTACCTACCTGGTGTCGTTGCTGTCTGTTCTCTGCCCTGGAACTATTTTGTTCCGGGATTTCCTCCTTCGGGCAGACAGACAGGAACACAGTGACCTGAGTGCCCTCATGACTCTCTTTTGAACTGTTTTCCAGAGTCTGGGTCTGACCTCTGGAGGGTGGGTGGATGTACGCTCTCTGCCACTCCCAGCATCGGAGTCTTCCCGGTTGTCACTGTTGGAGGGAGTCCCAAGGGACAGGCTGGATAGGTCTCCAAAGTGGGATTGGCCGACATTGCCCTCAATGGAGGACCCAGGCTCTGGAGTATTTTCACAGGGTAGCCTGGAAACGGCCTGGCTGCCCATGTGGGAGAAGGGAATAGCGGGCAAGGAGACATGTTTCACACTCAGGTCTTGTGAACTTTGGTCCTCCTCCTCCTGCTGGAAGAGGGTGAAAGAATGAAGGTTGGAGACACTGCCCTTCCTCCTCCTAGCCACAGTGATGGGAGGTTTTGAGAGGGCTAGGCAAGGCACTTTGCCTGAAGACCTTGGTTTGCCATCACTGCTGGAGCCCAAGCCCTGGGGCATCTGATGATACAGAATGAGGTACGTGGCCATGGTGTCATCGAACTTCCTCTTCCTCAGAGAGTCCTGGATTTTCCAGGCTTTGTAGCCCATGGTAGTCATTGTGGCCACGATCTCTGAATATGAGCATTTGGGGAGAGTGGCCTTTACATCCCTGCCGTTGCCATCGTGTGAGTGGTTCAGCCAAGGATGCTGGAGGACATAATCTAGGGTAGCCCTCTTCTGCCACTCCAGCATCAATAGTTGATTTAGCAGGTCCTGGGCTTCTTCCGTGATGTTGCTCGGAAGCAGAAGCCATATGTACTGCTGGGAATTGTTAAAGATGTGGAAGGGGATTATGCCCACAAGCATGTTGTATAAGATTATTCCTAGGCTCCACATGTCAACAGCGGTGCCATCATAGCCGTCTTTGTAGAACATCTCTGGGGCAGTGAAGGGCACTGTGCCACAGAAATTAGTGAACTTCTGCCCGGGCCTAAACTGAGTGCTGAGCCCAAAGTCACATACTTTCAGGGTTTCTCTGCCGTCGACTAAGATATTACGAGGCTTGAGGTCTCTGTGGCTTATGTTCCGTGCATGTAGGTATTGCACAGCACAAGTTATTTCATAAAAAAATTGTCGGGCCTTCCCTTCCTTTAAGTAACTTTTAGCCTTGATGTAATCTCTCAGGTTGCCGTTTATTGCATGTTCTAGGATGAAATAGATGTTTCTAGAGTCTTCTAAGATGTGGTACAGCCGTATGATGTTCTGATGGCACAACCTTTTCATAATACTGGCTTCAGAAGAATCATAGGATAAGTGTGGGTCATTTTTGGCAACTATTTTGACGGCAACCTGGGTTTGTGTTAGCTTATGCCAGCCAAGTTTCACGCTGGAAAAGCCTCCTTTTCCGATGGTTTTTAAAACCCAGTAATGGTCATTGAGATGTTCCTTGCGATAGTTGATGCTCTGAAGGTGTCTCATAGTCCCCTGTCTCGCTTGTATGCCCAGCAGCGGCTCAAGCTATAACAGATCAATAACAATTAAAAGTGACTTTGTAGTTAGGCAAGTTTACATTTTAAACTAGAACTAGGAGATTATGTTTCCAGTTGGGGGGGGGGGCCACTTGCTTAACAGGTTCGAAGCCTTCAGTGAAATGCCAGTACCACGAAAAAAAAAAATTGCTAAATGAAATGGGGGTAGATCCATGGATCATTTCTGGAGCACCTGTGTAGCAAGCACACACCCCAAGCACAGACAAAGACACCTCAAATCATCTTAGAAATAAGGACAACACAAACCCCAAAGCATATGGGAACAAAACGAGCAACAAAAAGGTCATGCAAAACCTGGGCACTAGTGGCTCCCACCTGCAATCCTAGCTACAAAGAAGACCATGATCAGAGGACAGTGGTTGGAAGCCAACCCAGGCACAAAGTCCATGAGATTTTTTTGTTATCTCCAATTAACCACCAAGAAGCCAGAAGCTGAGCTGTGGCTCAAATGGTAGAGTGCTAACCTTGAGCACAGACACTCAGATACAGCAGACAAAACTTGAATTTAAGACCCAAGATTGGCAAAAAAGACAAACTAGAAACTGGGAGAACACAAAGATCAGTGAAAGCAAGGATAAACAAAATTCACCTTTCTATATAGCCAACCAGAAACAGGAGCTAAGACCTAAGTAATAAAATGGCAGCTGATAATAAAATGACAAGAGCCTGCATCTCAAAATCATTACTAGGGTATAGTTTGAAAAGGAAAATCTAGAAGGAAAAGTGAAATGTTGAGGCACATGAAATTTATCAATATTGAAGTTGGAAAACATATGAAAAATCTCTCAGGTAGACTGAGATTGGATGGATTTACTCCCAAACTTGTTCACTCCCAAACTTGTATGGGGAATTTTTTTTTTTTTTTTGGGGGGGGAGGTCCGGTAGTGGGGCCTGAACTCTGGGCCTGGGCGCTGTCCCTCAGCTCTTCAGCTCAAGGCTAGTGCTCTACCACTTGAGCCACAGGGCCACTTCCGGCTTTTTCTGCTCATGTGGTGCTGAGGAACCGAACCCAGGTCCTCATGCATGCAAGGCAAGCGCTTTACCACTGAGCCACCTTCCCAGCCCTTGTATGGGGAATTTAAGAAAGGACTATGAAGAAAATGACACTTAAATTCTCTTTTTTAAAAAAGGAAGGACATATGTGGAAAACTAAAATAGGAAGGGCTGTGGGCAGGGCTGTATTGATAAAAACTCCTGCAGAACAACTCTTAAGGCCTAGGATATACTGGATGTGCCTATAACTCAGAACTGCACAAGGGAGAGGATCATGTGTCATCCAGCCACAGAATAAATCTGAGCTCAAGGCTGACTAATCCAAGCAATGGCAGGGCCTATTGCCCTAAGAATAAAAGGAGGCCAGCCAACCTGTTCCATGTGCCTGTGCTTGCAAGATTTTGCCAGATTGCATACCTTTCTCCAGAAGTATATTTGTCTTAAGAGTAAAAGGGGAAAACAATGTGTACATAGGTCAAAATAAGGAAATAACTATGAGAAAGCCATAATTGGCACTTTATTTGTACAATGCATCAATGTGAATTATAACACATAAAATGAGACAAGAAAACACATAGCCAAAAGTATAAAAAATGACCCAAACCCCAAGGTACAAACCATAAAAAAAAAAACCCTAGCATCCTACCAAGTAATGTGCCAATGTCTGGTATCAATAAGTCACAAATGAAGAAGGTTGCTCTCAATAAGGGTAGTTCAAAAGTTTTGATGGCAGGCACCTCTCCACCCAGCTTAGGAAAAAGCAAAAATAGGGCTGGGAAGGTGGCTCAGTGGTAGAGTGCTTGCCTCGCATGCATGAGGCCCTGGGTTCGATTCCTCAGCACCACATAAACAGAAAAAAACCAGAAGTGGCACTGTGGCTCAAGTGGTAAAGTGCTAGCCTTGAGCTGAAGAACTGAGGGACAGCGCCCAGGCCCAGAGTTCAGCCCCCACGACCGGATCAAAAAAAAAAAAAGCAAAAATAGATGAGTCCAGGTCTGTCATGACAACAAAAGAAAAGATGTACCTGGAAAACAACCTAAACAGAAAGGGCTGTGGGTAGAGCTGTACTGGTAGGTTTTCTACAGAACAACTCTAAGGCCCTGTGTGTGTACCGGGTACAGGAGTGTGAGTCTGTCCTCACTGGTAACGTAGGACACTACACGGATCCCACCAATCCCATCAGAGAATAAATCTGAGGTCGAGGCTGCCCAGTGGCAATGGGGCAGAATGTGTTGCATTAGATTAAAGGGGACCACAGCCCCGTTGCTACTTGTGCCTGGTTGCCAGATTTTGGCAGATGGCACACCTTACTACAAAAGTTAACTTTGCCTTAAGAGTCAAGAAAATTTAAAGAAAGGACACAAGGTGTAAAAAGGGTAAAGAAGGTTAAAAAAAAAATAGCTGTATGAAAATGTCATGGCACCATCAATTCCTCATTTCCACAAGAAATCAATGTGGATTACAACACCTGAAGTAAGACAAAATGCATAGCCAAAAATAAATACTAAAGACTCTCCCAAATAGAAACCTCAGTACTCGTACCCTCACAAGAGAGAGCATCTTACCAAGTAAAATAGAAACATCCAGTGTTGGGGTAAGTCATAAATGAAGTTATAGGTTGCTCTCAATAAGTTCACAAAGTTTCTGCCAAAATCAGCACCCTCCCCTCGCCTTAGCCTTAATTACCTGGTGATTACAAACTCATCACAGTGGTTCCTTGCAAAATCATATTTTGGGCATAACCAACGAGGGATTTTCTCATTTTCAGTCCTCATACCCAATTGATAAAAAGAATAAGACTAAACTACAGAAGTTCTATGTTTCTTTGGATTGTGAAAAGTTACATTTATTTCTTTAGGAATGATAAAGTGTATATGGCATACACTGTCATTTTCACTTGAAATCAAAATATATAAAGTGACTTGTGGCTTAAATTCCTTTTTCTTCAAACTTGAATCAACTGGAGTAAAAAAGGGAATGTGCAGCTAGCTAGATAGGTAGATAGAGATACAGATATAGATGTATCTAGGCTTGGTGGTTTGCAACTATAATCCCAACTATTCAGAAGGCAGATAATAGGATACCAGTTTAACAGGTAGGGTAAAGTATCAGATAGGCTCCAACATAATGAAAAGATGTGTTTGATGGCAGGTACCTCTTCACCCAGTTGGGTTCTGGAGAAGCTTGTCAGAGAATTGGGATTGAAGTCTGTCAAGACATACCTGGAAAACAACTGAAGTAGGAAAAGCTGTCTGCAGAGCTGTAGTGATAGAACTTCTGTAAACCAACCGAGGCCTTGACAATGCACTGGGTGCAGGGGAGCAAGTCTGTCCTCACTGGTAACCCAGGACATCATGAGGAAGAGAATTGTAGGTCAACTTAGCCAGGGTATAGATAGATCTGAGTTTGAGACTGACTGATCCAGACAAAGTGGCAGGACCAGCTGCACTATGGATGTAAGGGGAGCAGCTGGCCTAACTCCATGTGTTTGCTTGCCATATTTGGGCAGATGCTCCCTCTTCTACAGAAGTAAACTACATTTTGCAGGGTTTTGTTTGTTTGTTTTTTGTCCGTTGTGGGGCTTGAACTCTGGGCCTGGGCACTGTCCATCAGCTCTTCAGCTCAAGGCAAGTGCTCTACCTCTTGAGCCACAGCACCACTTCTGGTTTTCTTGTGGTTAATTGGAGATGAGTCTCACGGACTTTCCTGCCGGGGTTGGCTTTGAACTGCAATTCTCAGATCACAGCCTGAGTAGCTAGGATTACAGGTGTGAGCCACTGGCACCTGGCTGCAGTTTTTTGTTTTTGTTTTTAAAGACTGAGTGATGATTGTCAATGTAGAGAATTACTTTATGGAAATGTTATTAATTTCTTATTTTGCACAATGAATAAATGTGAATTATAACATAAGACACGAAAATACATGGCCAAAAATAAATACAAATGACCCTCCCCCCAAAACATAAACTCCAATACTCAAACCCTCAAATAGAAAAGCATCTTACCAGGTAATATGGTCATAAATGAAGAGACAGGTTGCTCTAGGTTCAGGGTATTTCACAAATACTCTGCCAGTAAAGGACAAGAATCAGCCCCAGATTTATTTTTGAGCATCTGGTGATTACAAATCAATCACAATGGTTCCTTGTGAGGTCACATTTTGACTGTACCAATCATGGATATGCATAACCAGACAGAAATGTTCTCACTTTTACTCCTCACAAATTTAATCGAATTAATACAAAGAATAAGGCCAAACTGTAGATATTCTATGTTTATATGGATTGTAAAAACTGATGTTTACTTTTTTAAGAATGATAAAATATAAGGTATATCACTGCCATTTTCACTTGAAGTCAAAATAGCCGTAATTACCTATGATGTGTTATAAGCCAGCCATGGTGGCTCACATCTAGCTGAGATCTGAGGACTGCAGTTCAAAGCCAGCCTGGGTAGGAAAGTCAAGACTCCACTAAACTACTCAGAAAAAGCTGAAGTGGTGCTATGGCTCAAGACAGCATCTAGACCCTGAGTTTAAGCCCCAGGACCAGGCCCACCACCCCAGAAAAAGAATTAATCTTTGTATCTACTATGGGGAAAATCAAGCATGAATAGATTGAAGTAAAAACTGGTAACATTTTGCTGACATGGTTCTAAAGAAATGCTGTCCTGATACAGCATAGGATGTATAAACATTTACAAAGGTCAAGAGACAAAGAAACACAGAGAGGGAAGGAAATAGATTAGAAATGATTAGAAGATCCCCATAAAAACATAAGGCTATTATTTCTACCTAGAATCTCTGGGCACGAGAGTGAAGTATATATTTCTAGTGAAGTATATATTACTGGGTAATTTAGGAAGAAGGATAGTTGGTTTCTTACACTTCAGGGCATTGGCAAGCTGAATGCACCTGACCATTCACTAGGCTGTGTGT